GATGTAAGCTCCTGCTGTGTTCTATGATTGTAGCTGTGTGTTGGTGCGAATATTTATCTTTATTTATATACCTTTGTTTCTAACTCTATGTCTTAACATATATAATGGAAATAAATGCTATTCTCTCTTGGGAAGTAACTTTCCTCAGAAAAGGAGAACACAGTAATACAAATCACAAAAGATCAGGATGACCTGTGCCTTCTGACCAAGCCTTCTCCATTATTCAAGCTTTTAAAGAGGCCTAAAATTACTTGCATATAGTGATCTCCACATAAACAATAGGACATTACTGATAGCCACTTTATGGCTATTGAAGAAAGCAGACGGTGGATCCAGTGTTAAGGCCTAATAATCACCTTGGCTACTAGGCTTCCACAAATGAATTTGAGGCCATGGGGACTAACTGTGCTTTGGTCTTCTCATTTATAAAACAGAGATCACAAAGAATTTCTGCATTACGGAATTGTTGTAAAAATTTAATGAATTAACTCACAAATGTAGACTCTGTATAACATTTTATAAAATCCAGTCTTCATTTTAAATTAACACATGTTCATTGTGACATTATGCAGCGTTTTTTTCTGTTAATTTAATCACTAGGTAACTGATATTCCCACATGTCAATACATCTAAGTATTAACAAATTATCATCATATGTAGCTTCTGAAATATTTAAACATAGGGCAACACTTAAACACTTTAATTTTCAGTGATTGTTAGGAAAAGTAGAAAGTGTGTATCCAATCCTAAATGGCCCTTAATTCCATTTGTTTAGCTAATGGCTTTTAAATAAGCCACTAAATACCATGTATTTGTAGTGTCCTCGATCAGCAAAAGCCATACCTATGTGCTTCCCTGACAACTGAAATCCTCTTATCAGAATCAGACAGTTTACAGATATCAGAGAATAAAAATGTAGTTACCAGTGGTTAAATAAAAGCTATAACAGGACTAATGGAATCCAAAATGCCAATTCTATTCTTTCTTCTTGTCCTTCCCTGCCCCTCTCCAGCATCCTGGCATGAGGTTTTTTTGCATCTAAGAGCAGAGGAAATGATTAACATTTTATTGCAGTTTCCAGTTGCCATGGATTTTTTTTTTTTTTTGAGGACACAACAAAGCATGGGCCATGTATTGATTTGTCTCACAGAATTGCAAGGATTTTGCTGAAGCTGCACCCAACTTTACTTTATGAGATGAAGGAATTGAGAAATCACTCCATGATTTGGATGAGTAAAAAATAAATCATCAGGAATGATATAGGAGCTTAGGGTTTGTAGGCTGCTTTGCATGTGTGATTGAAGAATCATGCATTAAAAGCTAAATCATGTATTATCCTTAGCGCTTTAAGCTTTGTCTTATGATTAGCTTATCTCTAAATGGATTCACTAGGATCAGCAACAAAGGGACAGTTGAAAGTTGTAATTAAGCCAATTGGTAGTTATATGCATTATAAATTAATGAGATACAATGAAAGCATTTCTCAAAAGTATGTTATTTTATGCCTTATGTATTTAGAACACTGACAGAAGGTTTTATTCAGAGCATGTCAGAAAAAGTTTCATCCCTAAAAAGAAATATCATTCCATGGTTTTAGAAATCATGAGCTTGTTTCAAAAGACAGATTTTTGTTAAACTGAGAAAGTCTGTGTTATGCAGTAATTTATAAGGACATGAAAATTGTTTCCAATTATCCTGTGATTCTTTTGTGCACCACTTCTTCCATCACATAAATATGAGTAAACAGGTGAAAAAAAGGATAAGCCTGTTACACATAAACTCTTCTTTTAATTTTGAGAGAATATCCAAAAAATATCGTTGTGAGAAAGTGCTATTAGGATAAATATTTTTCACATGACCAGGAGTATACCTACAGTGATTTTCTATGCAAGATATAGTTTTCCAAAAATTGTTTTGGTAAAATTAAAAAAAAATTATTTTATCAGGAACAAGTGTTTTCACTGGAAAAGAAATTTCTGAACTGCACATCCACTGCAGGTGGATTAAAGACAGCAGAATCCTTGGAGTGTCATGGCTCCTTTGCCTCTAGCTCTGTTTATCTGCAGTTCCAATTGCTGAAAAGTGTAGCAATAGTGATTCTCACTGACAAATCTACCTGATTGAAGAGAAAGGATTATGGTAAAGATGTCAAATGATGGTGTGATAGTTAAGCTTAATTTTCAGCCTGATTGGCCAGGAGATTGGTGGCACTGACTCCTGGGTGTACCTGGGTAGTCACAAAGGTGTAGTTTCGGGGCCATGTTTAGGCCTTGGGTACTTCCTTTCAGGTGCTGTTCTTCTGCTATTTAGTGGGAAAAAATGCTTTTTTCTCAGCCTTTCCCTTCTGCATCATGGTTCTGCCTTGGAGCCCACTTACCACTGACACAATCCACTAAAACCTGAACAAGAATAAACCCTTCCTCTACGAATTGTGCATGTCAGGTATTTAATCAAGGAGATAAAAAAAAACCTGGCTAATACACATGACTAACAGCTTGGATAGAGGTTAGTGACAGTTTAGTAGGTTCAAATTCATATCCAGTGACTCCAACCTAGATACTGCTGCTTTTGGAGCATTTGGTATATCAGGGACTCATAGTTCAGTTGTCTGAAATTTAAAGTTAGAATTTCTGTTCTATCCAAAAATAAAAACTGGGTTTTCTGTTGAGCAGAATAAGGAATCATGGCACTACTTCAAATAAAATAATGATAGTACTTTCATTTCTGTAAATAGTTGCCTCCAATTCCTCTTTACTCTTACCATTCTTGGTAGCAGAGAAAAAGAACAGTGTGATTCCATCTCACTCCAGAAAGAATGGCAGTTATCAGGAAATTAATCAATAACAAGTGCAGGTGAGGCTGTAGAGATAAAGGAGCTCTTCTCTCCTGTTGGTGGGAATGTAGACTGGTGCAAGCACCATGAAAATCAGTGTAGAGATTCCTCAAAAAACTAAAACCAGAGGTTTCTTGTGATACAGATATTCTTGATATCTTCCTGAAAGAATTAAAAACATCATATCATGGTAATGTATGCACACCCTTGTTTATAGCAGCAGTTTTTTAATAGCTAAATCGTGGAAACAGCCCAAAATGCCCATCAACCATTGAATGGATAAAGACATGTATTTTCTATATGCAATGGCAAATTACTCAGCCATAACACAAGTATAAAAATTGCATTGCTTCTCTGGTGTGATAATCAAAAGTGTAAATAAGAATTAAAATGTATACTAGATATTTTCTAGGAAGAGAATGCTCAGATGAAGAGGGGAACTATGAAGAAAAGAAGAGGAACGGAAGGCAGGGAAAAGGAAAAATTGAGAAGAAAAGGAAAACTTGTAAACAAAGCTTTCGTACATAAGATGGGAAAGGGGGATAGAAGGAAGGGTCGAGTATCAGCAAAAGAGAAATTGAGATATATCATGTAAATGTACAAATTCCTTATAATGAATGTGGTCATTAAGTATATCTAAAATGTACCACTAAGCTTAATTAGTAAAAAACTGTAATGGCCCTGAAGGAACTATGCTTCATCAGCCTACTCAAACAGTTGTTCTTTTCTACATATGAAACCATAAGAATGAAGAAAAAGTGATACCTTTCAAATCTCCTGTCCCAAAAACTCACTATTTTAGTCCCTACAAGCGATATCTCTTGTTACACCCCAAAGCAAAGGAAGGGGATGGGTATCCCTTGATCTAATGAACAGAAACAGCGTGGGTCACTTCAGGTAACCGCCCCAAGTGCACTGGTAACGCACCGAAACAATGACTCACCCTCTTTCACAGCTGCATTCTTCTCATGGCGGAAATTGATTCTCTTCTCCTTGCCTGTCAACTTATCCTCTACAAAGCACCTAAAATTGGAAAAAATCTCTAACGGTATCTTGCTACTCTTATAAGAAATAACTTTTACATAGTCTTATCTGTGAAATTTGGAGTGCATGGTTCTCATGACTATTTTGTCCTTGTCATTTTTTATTATTTAAAATATCAATATATTGCTCCGAACCTTGTACAATCTTACTAGAGTTGTGTGTTGAATAACCTGTCCCTTCTGGATTCCAGAAGGACTGCTACTGAATCATGTTCATTATTTCATCAAAAGACACTTACTAAGCATCTACTTTGGGATTAGCACAACACCAGGCAAAAGCGAAGGATAGTTCTTCTGCAAAAGTGATCTTAATTTCACTTTGACATTTTTGAATCTTCTTTGCCTGTTTTGATGCCATTATAAAAGGTATTCTACTGTTTTCAATGAATATTTCAGAGTCAAAAAGAATAAGAACATTTGCTATAGATATGCCATTAGTCTGCTTTAGTCCTAGTGCCGAAAGGATTATAACCTTCCATCTTATCAGATAAACTGAATACATGATTTTTTTCCTTTCAGTTTTTAAACAGGCATAAGTCACCTCCAAATTCTCATCGACCATATGAGTTAACTTCAGAAGAGGTTAGCCTCTGATGGTGTAATTCATGGTACAATTTGCTTCCAGAGGAGGATTCTTAATGCATGTTTTTATTGTTTTTATTTATTTTATTGTATAATTTATTAATGCATAATGTTTTTATTATCTTTTTTGACATTTGTCTCTTAAAAAAAGAACCTTCTCTAACACAACAAAAAGAACATTTCCCACCCACCCTCTCAAAAGCAACAGCATCAAAGAATGAAATTGTAAATTTAGCAAAAGACATATGCTGGAACACCATTTTTATATTAATAACCACTCATGAATTTGTTTTCAGCCTCATTCTTCTAGTAAAGTCCCTTTCTTCTTATTAACTATAGTATCCTCTTTTTGGTGATCATCCTGGGAATGTCAAATCCTAATGTTAGCATGTGTTGTGTATTTACTGTAGCCTTTTACAGTTCAAGTCATGACATGAATACAGTGACTTGTTTGACTCATAGAATCTTACAGGATTTGTATCTTTGTAATACCAGTGCTAAAATTTAACCAGACACACACCTTCAGAAAGCTTTTTATTACATGTTACAAATCTTCTCCAAACTTTTTTCTCCTGTCCTTCAAATAGATAAGAATCGATGTCCTATAACAGAACAGAAAAGCACATTTCTGGTCTTTGTTTTCCTTTCCAGGTTTATCAGCTTTCCTCTGAGATCCATAACCTACGTCACAGGTGATCAAGCCACAGGCTCCACCTACAGCATCCTCCCAGGGTATCCAATAGGATGTGCTGAAGATTTCAAATTACTTAATTGTGTTTATTTAAAAAATTGAAATAAAGTTCTTTCTTTGTTTCTCCTCCTCCTCTTCTTCTTCCTCTTCTTATATTGAGGTTATCAAAAGTGTAATTTTTGAACCTTCCAAATTTCTTACATATTTTCCCTCTTCTCTTTGCTTCTTACTGGACAAGGCTCAACACCCCAATTATTTTTATCTCAAATCTCCACTGAGACTTCTTGTCTGGTGGTATTTCCTATGCTTGTTGTATCTATTTGTCTGCACCAATGCAAGACCAACCAGCTTAAACTGCCACTTTCAGTATTTTATTTACCTATTAAAATACAAATTTACTTTATTCTCTGTCAGATTTAAATCCTTTCTCTTTTTTGAAAGCCCAGTATGGTAAGTTTCTGTGATGCAATTATATAAACGCACACACACACACACACACACACACACACACACACACTCACACACACACACACACTCACACACACACACCCCTTTATGAACATTCAGCTATATATCGTATTTTGTTTTAGACCTTTTCTTTACCTCAAATACATGACAGATTTTTATATGTAAATCTTTATTCCTTCACTCTTTGTGTTTCCTTCATCCTTTTCCATAAAACTTTCTACTGAACTATTCTGACTCTTCCAAATTATGACCTAATAGTCTGTGAACATTTTCTGACTTCCAAACTGTTCCCTCTCTTCTCTGATGCCAATGTTAGTAGCACTTACAGGGTATGATCAAAACATACAGTGAATGTTTACATTTTGAAAATTATACGAAAGATATTTTGTCATTAATACTAAAGATATTTTGTCCCGCCTGAAATACTCCCACTTCTTTCAAATGCTCTTATTCCAGCATTCACATTACTCTCTGAAGCAGCTCTGGAAGTCGTCATTTTGGAATGTCTTTAATTGTGCTGTGCTGGCTGCCTGAGCATCATGAATCCATTCAAACTATTTAACTTTTGTGGCTGTGGCTATTTGACTTCATCAAATAGTGAGCAGTTGCATGGTAAGGTGGATTAGGACACACTGCAAAGCTTTTCCAAGCCTGCTTTCTATCGGATGTCACCTGGCAGCATTCATACCCTATAAAGACCTGAAAGAGGATCCAGAACTGCCTCTGAGAGTGGCAAGTCTTTGATAGGATAAGTGCCTTCTGCATGAAGGAAAATTTGCCTTCTACTCTAATAAATTTTTAAAATACAGATAAATGTTCACACATATTTTGATTTATTTAGTATAGAATTGTTCTCTAATTGTTTCATGTTTATTGAGCATATATACTTTGATTGAGAGATTCTAGATTCTTTCATTTATTAGTTCATCCCCTGATGCGAAGCACTGGTCATGAATGGTGCAAGAGAAAGACAGTGGCTCCTGAAAGAATAATAGCTGAAGGACCATAAGCAGGGTACGCCCTTCTAGGCCGTGGCACCCTTAGCAGGCCTTGCTAGTTTGTCTCAGCATCCTTCTCCTACTGATTTGGAAGATAACTCCACAGACCTTACACTACTGACTATCAATCAACTGGATTAATAAATCAACTTGAAACCTATTTGATATAACTGATTTATGATCTAAATGGAAGTGTGTGTGTATGTATGTATATGTATATATATATATAGAAAAATCCTCATAATTTAGTTCTTTAAAAAAGTGGGAATGGCATCTTATTATTGAGTTTTATATCTAGTACAACACTTGAAGAGTTTCAATAGAGATTATTTCATTGAAATGGACAACAAATTATATATTAATATTTAAGCCCCACAGTCATTGTCTACTGCAAAGTATAATTTGTTCAGAAAGAAACTATAATGAGAACCAATAGTTTTATATTGATTTAGTCCTCCAGCCACACTCAGTGATACAGAGCAACGTAATTAGCAGTAGTATCTTCAGACACAAAGAAAATCAATTCCTATGCATATGAACATGTAGCTACAATTCTTTTGAGTTTTTCACAATACCAGAATTGATAAATTATATCTGTAACTGGAAAGCATAAATGCATCCTTTCATAATACATCTTGTTAAATACTGAAAATGCTATGAACTCAGAAACAGAACCACAAAAAATTTTTATTACAGTACAAGTAATGCATAAAAGTTTGCTAGTCCAATTTCTAAATCATAACATCTTGAAAGTGTTTTGTATGTATATACGAGTTGTATTAGACATGAAAGTAAAGAAAATATGAAGAAAAATATAGAGGCAAAGGGTGGGTAACAGGTATTGACTATGTACTAGGAGAAAAGATTTTCTAATATCACTATTTTACATTCTTTCTAGGATTCACATTCACAGAGGCTTTATTTTAGTATGAATATAACAATTAGTATGTGGTTGTGAGAAAAATGTATATTAAAAGAGATGCTACATAGATACATCTTTGTACACAAATATCTTGAATTATTGAAATGAAAACTTTTTTCTATGAAACATTAATAAAGATGAAGCATATGCTTAGCTAGATGTAGTTCTACAGTTGTTTTTAGTCTTCAAAACAAAAATAACTTCCATAACTCATAGGAATTCTGATTTTTGCTTTCTCAACAGCTTGGCGAGGTATGAATACAAACGTCCTACTCTTTGGTTGAGGAGTCAGACATCATCTATGGTGGACTCTACAAGAGCTCAGGTAAAATATTTAGTTTTGCTTATTTTTTTCTTTATTCCAATTTGATGGTAATAGTTTGGCTTCTAGATTTTTCTGAGTCATTCTCAGGGTATTTTGTTTGTTTTGCTTTGTTTTGTTTGTGGCCTACACTGACATAGGTGGTCCCACTCAAAATTAGAAGTTCTGCTCTTTTAAATCTTGATATGTAACTAACTCTAACAAACCAAAATATTATTGTAATTTCTAATAAGCACAGTTTTGTCCACATAGAACCAAGAAAGTACACTGGACCAAGTAGATACATGATATAAATATTTGTAAGGTGAAGATAGTCACTTATTTTTTACTATTTTTCTTTAAAAGCAAGACATCATTAAAATGAATGTAGTATTATATCATTTATGTACAATAGTTCATTTTTTGAACTATACATATGGCAAATTTTTAAAAAGTTGTTCATTCATATCTGTGAGTTCTGCATGCACAGATTCAATCAAACACTAACAGGAAATAATAAGAAAAAATTACAGTTGTATTAAACATGCACAGAATTTTTCCTGTAATTATTCCTAATCAAAATAATACAACAACTATTAGAATAACCATTGTATTAGATATTAGAAGTATTTTAGAGATGATTTAAAATATAAGGGAGGATATGCATAGGTCATATGCAAATATAGCTCTATTTTACATATAATACCTGAGCACCCATGGTATCTTGTGCTTACAATAATTATTCATCACAATTGTGTAGGTAAGTATATTTAAATTTTTTTGTATTTGACTCTCCATATTTAAGCAATTTTAATATCCTAAAGATTTTTTCCCCTTGGTGTAGTACAAACTGACCCAGTTTGAAGCATTTGGAATCTTAGAATACTACTGAAATATTATATCTGTGTGGCTGTACAAAATTAAGTCATTGTGATGTTTCATAATTGAAGTGTTTCACAAGGATCCTGTGCTGTCCTGATTCAGCTCTGAGCCTGGTATCTGAGGACTAGTTGAGGGAAAAGAGCTTGTAGGCCAAGAAGAGGTAGAGTTAAAAATATATGAAAAAAATAAAGGAAATTAGTAAGTTTTTAAAAAATCCTCTTGACACTTTGATATTTGGAAACTATCATTTAACATTTTTACTTTAAATGAAAAAATGCTTAGCAATTTAGCTTAAGACAGTGATACTAATAGAAATTGCCTGAGTTCATCCATCACATTGCAAGAAATCAAAGCTTAGAGACCAAGAGGGATGTAACTGTGAATTCCACATACTGAAACTATTTTGACTCAAGAGAGGAAAGTACATTTTGAAATACTGTTTATACATTAAAACGTACAAATCTGAAAATCCAGGCATGGTGGCATGTCCCTGTAATCCCAGAACTCTGAAATGCTGAGGCAGAAGAATCGTAAGTTCAAGCCTGGCCTTGGCAACTAAGCAATTAAGGAAGAGTGTATCTCAAAATAAAAAGGGGCCAGGAGCTGTAAGCTACATGTTTGTCATTTGCTTTTTTAAAAAAGAAAGAAAACAAAAGAAAAATTTTTAAAAAGGTCCAGGGATGTGCCTCAGCGTGAAAGTCCTTGGTTAAAACCACAGTACTGCCACCTCCTCCCCCATAAAAATATGACTACTTAAGGGAAAAAGACAGTGTCCTTCACTTACCAGTTACTGCTACAGAAAAAGACTTAAAACTGAAAAGATATAAAATTCCTGGATTACAATTCTCATTCTGTTATTTATTAACTGTATAACTAAATTGACCTCACAGGGCCAGGTAAACACAGGGTGAGATAATGTCAGTAAAAAATAAAACAGGTTACACTGATCATTACAAGATAACCGAGAGGCAAATATTTGACTAGGATTTTAACAACCATGTCATAATATTTCATTTTTAAGATAACCTTAAAGATGCGGACAATGAAAGCAAAAGAAAGCAAACCCACCAATCTGGAACAATGTTAGACCAGCCTTTTAACATTTTCAGAATGAAAATAAATAGATTTACAGTAGTCCAAAAAAGGTGAATAGTTTACAATCACCTGCATCATGTAAGAATATCACCACTGAGGTTCTCTTCTGTTAAAAAAAAAATACAGTATGCAATATGTAATAAAAGCTTTTATTTCCAGACATTGTGTTCTTATGCAATTCACTTTTATGCACATACAATCGACTGCTTGACCTTAAACACATTTCAAACGAGGAAGAATCTGGCCAAGTAAACAATTTCACTATGGGACTAATAATGTCTGCATCAACTACTGTGGTCCTACTACATGGGCGCCCTCTCAGCACAAGTACAGGAAGAAATACGAAAACAATGATGATCATACAGATCAAGGAGAAAAAGAAACTTCCCTGTTAGCTCAAGGAATAGCTTGCACACCTTTCTTGTTGGCTGCACACCTTTCTTGTACTAGTAAGAAGCTTTTAAAAGGTTGTTGACTCCTGCTATTGTTATTAATTTTATTGCATTTTAAAATTTCCAAAAACTATTGGAAACCTTGCTCAGCTGGAGCCTCTGGAGGCAAAGTTATACTCAGAAAAACAGACTGGTAGACCAAAGATAATATAAAACAAAAAGACAATTGTACTAAGTCAAGATACACTTTTAGATACACTATCTGTGCTAGATTGCAATATCTTTTTCCCTTGTTTCTCTTTTTTCCTATTATCTGTTTTTATTTTGCATATATATGTTTTTCATATTAAAACACAATATTTATGCTTGTATGTCTGAGTTACTCTACTTAATATTATGGTCTCAAGGTGTATCCATTTTTCTAAAATGACTCAAGTTTATCTTTTTTATGACAAAGTCGTCTGCCATTGTTTATAAATACAATTTTTATCCATTCACCTGCTGATGGAAATACAGGATAGTTCTGAGATTTAGCTGTGAATTGCACTGCTATAAATAAGGATAATCATGTATCAGTATGATTCAAATTTTTTGGAAAGACACCTAGAAGGAGACTATCTAGGTCAAATGGAATTTCTACTTTTAGTTTATTGAGGACTCTCCACACTGATTTCCAAAGCGGCTGTACTGGTTTACAGTCCCACCAGCAATGGAGAAGTCTCAGACGCATAGCCTCACCAGCATTTGTTATTGCTTGATTTCTTGATGGTAGCCTTTCTTACTATAGTCAGATGGAATCTCAGCTTTGTTTTAATTTATTTTTCTTTAATGGCCAGTGATGGTGAACATTTTTTCATGAATTTATTGGCCATTTGTATTTCTTCATCTGAGAAGGGTCTTTCAGATGTCAACTTTTTAAATTGGGTGTTTAAATATAGGTCTCTCTCTCTTTTTTAGTTCTTTATATATTGTAGATTTTGGTCCTTTGTCTGAGGAATAGCTGGGAAACATTTTTCCCCATTCTGTAGGCTGTCTTCATTAGTAGTTGTCTCATTTGTTAGTAGTTGCCTCGCTTTGCAGAAGCTTTTAAATTTGATGCAATCCCACACTATGGTATTATTTCTTGTACAATTGGAGTTTCGTTCAGAAAGTCTTTTCCTATACCTATGTCTTCAAGAGTTTAACCTATTTGTCTTCCAGCAGAGTAAGAATTGCTGTTCTAATGTTTAAGTCATTGATCCATTTTGATTTTGGTTTAGGTGCATGGTGAGAGGCATGCGTCTAAGTTCAGCCTTCAGCATGTGGATAGCCAGTTTTCCAAGCACTATTTGTTAAAGAGACTGTCTTTCCTCTAGCGAAGAGCCCCTTTGATAAAAACAACATTGCTAAATGTGCCTGGAGTTGTTTCTGTATGTTCTATGCTGTTCCATTGATTCAGGAATCTGCTTTTTGTTTCATTTTTTTCTTTTTCTTTTCTTTCTTTTACTTTGTGGTACTGGTAATAAAACGAAGGAACTTGCTCTTGCCAGATAGATGCTGAGCTCCTGAGCTATAACTTTTGTTGTTGTTGTTTCACGATTCAGTTTCATTGCCAATAAAATGCTTCCTCCTCTGGCTTTGCATATAAGTTGAGGTCAGGATTTTGATGCCCCCAGCCTTGCCTTTCTTGATCATATTGCCTTTGCTAGTCTAGGTCTCTACTGGTTTTAGGATTGGTTTCTCAAGATCTGTAACGAATGTTATTGTTATTTTTACTGGGATTTCATTACATCTTATAGCAGCTGTGGAAGTACAGTCTTTTTGATTTAGACTACATTGGTTCTTCTTATCAACGAACAGAGGATAGCATCCCATTTTTTGATACCCTCTTGAATCTCCTTTTTCAGAACATAGGAATATTTTGGTTGTCAAACTTAATTCATTCTAAATTCATCTTCAAACACCAAAAAGCTCAAAAACTGAACATACTATTCGAATGCTTGAGTTTGTATTGCAAGCTTACTAAGATTGCATGTCATATTTTTTCACCTGTCTAAATTTTAAATTTAACTAGTCACCACAGTCATCCAAATACTTGGGGTCTGCTGACACTTAAAGAGTATTTAACATTCTCTTGAAGCCAACACTGGACACTAATATTATCACATCATTGTAACTAAAGTATCTGCATGAATGAGCACAACTTCTATCTGTATTTAATTACTTGTGCAGTTTGTAAAAGACCCCTATGCAAACTCAAGTATATATGCAAGCACACTTCCTCTTTTTAATAAATACAGTTAAAGCTGACTCTAAGCAAGAAAACCAACTTCCAACATTATTACCCTCGTAGCCTTCTTAGCTCCTTTAGTCTTACCATAACAAATGCTATCTTCAGGAAGAACTCTTCTCTGGCTAGTCTTTTAATTACTTTTGGTAGTTTGCCTGTGCTTAATTAATTCTCTAAGTTTGGAAGCTTTCAGTATTTTCCCATATTCTGAACTTTTTCTGAAGCTATCATCATAGCTCATAGTTAAGTCTCCAGGGGTACCAAGAAGCCATCTTTTCTAAGGGCTTACTGTTGTCCCTTCTGCCTGACCCTCCTTCTTGCCCTGTGTGTCAGGGGAGAGACACAAAAAGAATTTTAATTTCAGAAGACACTGAGGTAGAGGTAAATCCATTTCAAATTCTTTTTTTCACCAGGCATAAATGTAATAGGTTATTTTATATGAAACTTTATTTCTCAGTATGCTAATTAATCAATTGTTTTCACTCTTTTCTTTATATTCTTATTCACAATCCCAAAGACACCTGTAGGATCACAGAATTTTTGCAATGGTTGTATAAGACAACTTAGAAACATTTTTAGTATTAATGAATATTACTCTTGAAATTGTATACATGTAAATACATGTCAACATAAAGCCTAATACTCTTTACATTAACAATGATATTGCATATTAAGAACCAGCATTGAGACTCTCGTTTTGATTAAAAACAATCATTAAAAATTCATAAAATTCCAGAAAAGTCTTAATTTAGATTTATTTAAATTAAATCTCATAATTGATATTCATTAATTACAAATTACATTTTACTTTCATATTTGATAGACAAATTTAAATACTGTGAAGAAATTAACTTTCTTCACATGCAGGAAATTGTTATATTGTTTAAATTCACTTTATGATTTGGTATATATTATTCAAAATTTATAAACCTTGGGTAAAATAACATTTTATTTATTGATCCTTCATACTATCATTATAAAAATATAAGTATCTCAATGGATCTATAAATAGAAATGTGAGGGGAGTATTGGAAAAGGGGAAAGGAATTAAATGTATTATATGCACGTACCCACTCCGCACAAGGAATGTAGACATTATCTGCAAACATATAGGAAGAAACAAGAAAGGGTTCAAGAGATGGGTAGAGGAATACAAAAGGAAGGAATAAGGGATTTTAAAAAAAGAAATTAAAATATGTTAGGTATGTGACTAATTGCCCACAAGATGTGTAAGCATTATACCAGCATGTATAATTTAAAAAGTAAAAAAGGTATCTATTATAAAACCATGATCAGACAAAAAGGTATACTATAAGTACATAGGAATTTATAAGTTGTATGATATGATTCTTGCTCATTTAAATCTTGCAGTTTTAAGAATACTGTTATGCACAACACAAATTAAATTCAATTATAATTCACATCTTGCCTATATTCCTTATAAAACCATAGCTTCCAATAAATCTTCTTCAGTGATTATTACAAAAATGTGCTGTTCAATAAACAAAACATACTTAATGGTTTAATACGAAGTTTTAAAATATTTAGCCATCTTATCTGTGAACTTTTACTTCTAATATGATCTTGATATCTCAAGTATTTGAAGCAATGGTTAAAAAAAAAAAAAAGATTCATTTCCCCTTATCCTGACCTTTACACATAGCCAACGGGCCTAAGTGTGATGGATGTCCTGACCCTTCAAAGTGAACTGCAGGTAAATTTCCAAGACTTGCCCTATTCACTGCCTGCTTTTTAAAATTCCATTTATGTTCCATTGTTAATTCTTAGTTCTCTGACCCCAGGCTAATTCCCCATCTGTAAACTAGCTGTTTTTACATTCCCCGGGGTGTCTGATCATTAGTTTTTGATCTAAGAATATATTTGATTCAGCACATTAGTTGCAGCTTCCCTGATGGCTAGAGTAGTGGGGATCACTTCGGACTGCTAAGGAGGCTGTCCTTACCCTGGAGATCAATAGGAACCTAACAGAATTAGCCAAAATTTCTACTGTGAGCAGGAGTGACAGGCAATAACACATAAATCCTTTATTACAATGAAAATGAAATGAAAAAATATTTTACTATAGAAAGACAAGTTTGTTCTCTATATATGAAAAATGCACATATGCAAAATTCTATTGAAATTTCTACATCTGTCATCTACACTTACAAATATGTAGGCCTCCTTAGGGAATCTCATTTCTTTAGTCAAATTAAAGGAGGTTCTTATCTCCTGAAATAGACAGGCTAAGTACTATCTGCCACATGTATTTCTGTGCCTTGTCTTATTAAATTTTAATGTTTGATTGCTCAGTGAAATATTGAATAAATCAGTGCAAATAAGTATTAGCATCTAAAATTTCATGTCTTACATATATATCTGACACCTCAGTACTATTCTTTTGTACTGTAGAGAAATAACAGATAATTAAATTATCAAAATACACAGGAGAAAAACAAGATAGGTACTAAATACCACCTTTTCTTTGTGAACATTTGTCATCTTTGAGATCCTTAGCATCTAAGATTCTTTTTATGTACAGATTGTGTCTTTTCTGTTGCTGCAGGAGATCCTGATTACACACTCCCTGTGCTTCTTTCAGTTGTGGAACCAAGAGTGACCTGAATTCTTCTAATTAAAGAGTAGTAGAGGGAGCTTCGTTCCTGAGTCAAGATGAGAACTCCAATAATGGAGACAAGATCTTACTTTCAAAAAGTGTGAACCAGTAGGCACTTTTGGAATTTTAGCTAGTGAGAATTCAGATTGTTTGTTGCCTATTTTGTACAAAGTCAATGGCATTTTGACAATCGCTTACTACTAATTAGTGCTAATTCACTCAGAAACACTGATTAGTGCCAGAAAACTGAGTCTTTCATATTTTTTTCCTGCTTCTTTGTGTCTTTGTTTCCCCTAAACCTTGTAATCTGGTTTTCCACTTGCCTAGCAGGGATTCAATGCTATTTGATTTAAGAGAGACAACATTGATTTCCTTTACTTTCAAGAATATCTCTAATCTAAGTTACACTCAATGTTTCTGAGAAATACTATTTTTATTATGAGATTGATAAATCTGATACAGCCAGAAACTTACAATAAAATGAAACTTTATGCTGATTAACCAATATATATAAACCAAGAAGACTCAGTGATCTGGTTGCAGTAAGGATTATAATTTTAAGAACCTCAGATTTCCAAACTTAAAGCTCCTATGTAATTCAGAGAAAACTGATATTTGCTGATATGCAAAAAATTCTGGATATCATTTCTCTAGTCCTAGAGTTTTTGAGCTAAATGCTATTTCTTAGGTAATAGTCCTTAGTTATTCTTTCTATTAAGGTTATTAGTTAAGTATCTGGCTTGTCATCTAGAAATGGTGTCATCCATTGGTGCATTGCTCTCTGGTGGTGGCCATCTGGCATTCAGAAGATTCAGTATGCAAATTTGCCTCTTGTTATGGTTTAGATCTAAAATAGCCCCAAAGCCTCATGTTTTTGGAAAATGACTGGACTATGAGGGCTTATAGCTGACTTGCTCTTAGGAATTGACATCTGGTCAGAAGAGACTGGTCACCATGGGCATGACCTGGAAGACATGTCTCATTTTGGGCTCCTCTCTGTCTAGAAAGCTATTTTATTGAGCAAATTTCCTCTGCTCAGGCTCCTCCAAAATGTCTTCCTACCTATAAGATGTGAATATTCTGTATTTTGTCCCAGTGACTAAGAGAAGGACTAAAATATCTCATTAATAAACAACTCTTCTGGCAGAGCCTACATTCATATTCAAATAACCACTTTGAATGGTTATGGGTCAACTGGGAAAACATTGAAGTGTCTAGAGAAAAATTAGCTAACACACAAGGGATAGGTCACCTCGTTCGAGTGTGCTGGAAGACCAACGCCTTAGGGAATGTTTTCTCATGGGCACTACTGCAAGCAAAAATGATTCACAAATTTCTGCTTTTCTCCTACATTCATCCACATTTTTTCCCAGACCACTCTATCATTTTCTTCCCAGATTGGAGCTCCAAAAACAAAGCAACTGCTCCTTTCCATCGCCTAATGTTTATTCTAATCTCACACCATTTGTCTCTCCATACAAAATGTTTGACCAGTCATACTCTTTACATTTCAACTACAGAAAATACTTCATCTCCTGAGTGAGATTGTAGAAGAAGAGCAGTAATTTTTTTCCTAATACAAACATATGACAGGAACTTGCTCGTGAAATCGGTCTAAGTCCTTTTTTCCTTCATATTCAAACATAAGGAAGCTCCCAGAAGATTATCGGTGTAATTTTAGAGGATGACATCCTACAGCCAAAAGAGGAATAACTGGGAATCTGGGCTGTTCATGTAATTCACTCATGTCTTTTATTCCTCCTTGTGTTTAATGTCAAATGTAACATTTTAATTGCGTAACAAATTGTCTTCTAAGGTAATTTATCTGGTGATATCTACTCTATGATGGGAGCTCACAAAATCACTTTGATTTTGTGGTCAGACACTTACTGACTGACAAAGTCTAAAAGAAACCAGGAGATGTGTTTTCCAATAGATAGTTATTACTTGATGAGGAATAATAACTTTACTCTAGATTCCAAGGTATCTGTGGTATGTTATAAGATCATTTTGAAGCTCTCTGGATACTTCAAGCAGCATCATTATAGAACAAACAAAACATCCACTAGACCATTGAGTAAAAGTAATATCAATGGTTACACTAAAACCCAAATCTAATGCAGAACCTTCTCTTATTTAGAACTGTTAGCATTTCCTGTCACTAATAAATGGGCCATATCAGTAGTTGCAAGTGAAGTACTTTTTTCTTTTAATAACAGAAATCTTTTGCCACATACATAGTGATAGCAATCATAGTATGAATTGTAGATCAACAACTTATCACTATCCTTAAGGAGATATCCCAATATGCTTTAGAGCACTGCACTTCAGTATATAATAGCAAAGTAGCAGGATCTTCAATATTTCTTCTATTGCCTACTCTCTGGCATATATTTATCTTACTTAACCATGTGGTTGCTTGCATTACTTTCTCAGGTGCTCTAAGAAGCATTATATGTTACACACAATGTTAGAACCCTAGAGTATGATTATAGAGAGCAGAAGAGAGAGCAAAGATGTGAATGCCTTATAAATGTCAACTGCCTGTGGCTCTGATGAAGAGATTTTTATATGTCGTGATGATGTATTAGTCAGCTTTTCCATTGTTGGGACAAGATACATGACACAACTTAAATGAGGAGAGGACAGGCTTATTTTTGATTCATGTTTTCAGCAGTTTCAGTCCATGTTCAACTAGCTGCCAGTCAGAAACATCACGGTAGAAGGGCATAGCAGAGAAAGGCTGCTCAAATCAGGGCATCTAAGAAGCACAGAAAGCAGAGAAGAGCCTGAAAGGTAGAGGCCAGGAATCGGGAATCAAAACAACTGAGTAGCGTGGACCAGACAGAGAGGGAAAGGAGCAGAAGAGGGAAGTGTAGCTACAGTGGTATAAATACACACACTCTGGCTGATTTCAAGCTTCTCGATGATATCACTAAATGTAATAAAATAACATTAATGTTTTGACAATAGAAGGGCTAAATATCACTTGTCACATGACCTATGTCAGACCCAATTTATCTGTAATATTGCAATGTTGTTTGGATGTGCCCATCCGTATTAACAGTCTCATATCTAATGAGGAAAAGCCTGGCGAGTTTTCTTTATCCAGAGAGCAATTATCCAGGAAATTGCTAAAATACCCTTTGAAGAAGAGTCAGTAGAATGTTACTAAGGCTTTGGAAGCTCTTCATCAGAACCGAATTTCTCTCTCACTCAATAGATGTGGGTCTACAAATGGATTTGGTTTCAGAAATTGTGTGAGGAATCACAAGTTTCCATTATAAAAATCAACATCACTTAATTCACCCTTCTACCTCTTTTTGCTAGTCTCTTCTTGCTTCTCCTTTTTCTACAGCTTTACTGAGATATAATTCACACACTATAAAGGTCTCCTTGTGTACAGTTTGATGGTTTAAATTTTACTCACAAAGTCACAGTCTTATCATTTTCCTTTCCCTCTTCAAGCAACCTCTAACTTGCCTATTCTGTCCCTATAAACTTGCCTATTCTGAACATACATAAGTGAGCTCATATAACATGTTACTTATGGTAACCGATTTCCTTCACTGAAGTACATTTTCAAGGTTTGTCCATGTTGAAGCATGCAGTACAGTTCTTAGCTATTTTTACTACCAAATAATACTATCTTTTTAAAAATTTTTATTTTGAAAGTAGTAAAAATGCAATAGCACAAGACAGAACAAAGCCAATCGAGACAAGGCAGTGAAATTGGTACAGGATTTCACAGTAGGATACTGGGATAGTAGTAATAAGTACTATGGTATATCTCTTAACTTCACAATAGCTGTCCAGTCAATTAGGTATAGCAAAATCAAACCAAAAATAGAACATTATAAAACCAATTGAGAATACTCAATAGAGCAAAAGAAACATAACAAAACAGTGAAAACAACCTATGCCTTCAAACAGAAGATAGAAGGAAATTGGCCATATTTGCTATACTACATATGGTCATCCTCCCAAGAGATGCTGAGACATCTATCCCCAGTAGCTATGGGAGGAGGGGGCAGATAGGGGAAGGGTGCTTGGTTTTCAGCCCGCTGGCAGTAGGCTCACAGGTAAATGGTTCTCCTCCAGGCCCACGCTGCAGGCGCTTACCAAGAGGACAGGTGAATAAGCTGCCTGAGTCCCACCATGGCCAGATCTCGGGAGTTCTGGTTCTCCTCCAATATTATCTTTTTATCAGTAGGTGGATATTTTGAGTTCTTTCTAGCTTCTGGCTACTATAAATGGTAAGTTAAACCAACTCAATCCCAAACAATGATAATGTTTGTTCTGCTTTACAACCTCCCTCTCTGAAGTGCTCTGCACCATCCGCGGTCTATTTACCAATCAACTTTCCTGTCCTCAACCAATTTTTAAATACACTTTTAATGGTCATGTTACCAAGTTTGGCAGAGACACATCCAAGTAATAATCACATGATAAAAAAATGAGCTGGAATTTGACAGTGGTTGTTCTATGACACACAATTCCTATCATCTTATTTTGAAATTCTGTATCACTATTTTGTTGTTACTATTGTCATCGTTTGACTTTTGCTTTTGTTGATGTTTGTTGTTTGCTTGATTTTTTAAACTTTTCTGTACTTTTTTCTCTGTTTAACATAAATAAATAAAAATTTAAAAAATAAGCAGTTAGATATCTGATTTTATTAGTCATGTAAGAACTTTAGTCATAGGATACCATAAGTTTTGTAATTGCATTTTTAAACATTGGATAATAAATATCATCACTATTTGGTCCCTATAGGCCCACAAGAGCTTGTAATATTTTTTTACAAAGGTCTACAAGAATGTGTAATTAGCCAAAATATTTGGCCTTTTCATTCTTACCAATATTAGTGATATCATGAACATTTCTTATCTTTTTCGCACCCATCTTAATGTTTTTGTAATATAAATTTATAGGGAACAATTATTGGTAAAACATGAAAAACACTCTAAATTAACAAACAACAACTGTATTCAAGATTGTCTGAAAAACTTCACTTTTCCACTAATGTTGCATAAGAGTAACTACTTCCTCACACCTTTGGATTGCATTTTATCACTGTTCAGCATAGGTGTACAATGGTAACACAAACAGTAAGTATAGGCACTAGTCAATCCAATCAAATCCTCGCTCGTGTGTGTGTGTGTGTGTGTGCGTGTGTGTGTGTGTGTGTGTGTGTGTGTGTGTGTATGTGTGTGTATGTACATGTGTGCACTTGTTTTCAGATTAAGGCACCCTGCTATCATGAAGCAATTTGTATGATTCTTTGCTCTATTAAACAGACAAAAAAGAGAGTAGCTACTTAATCCTCATGGATTTTCTATGACCAGCTTCTTGATATGGTGCTTTTACCCCTTCCAAATGAAATGGTAGGTTTTAAAAGTACCAAATGGTGAGGGGACATCACTGCTTGAGTCAGGATACTTATCATTACTAAGCTTTGATGTGCAATCGAGGTATGCAATATAAATGTAATGGGTTTTTATTGATTATGAAAGAGTTGCAGATGTGTTTATCAAAGTATCTTTGTTGAGATAAGCAGAATTTTTTTAAAGTTATAAGTTCGCTTTCTCCAAGCTGAACATTTGCTATTATCTACAGAAATGAGGCTTATATAAATTTTAAACCCTCCACAATACACATAGCTCTGAACTGAGAATACTAGCATTTGTTGAAAATGGCTGCTGGTAGAACAGGGATGTATTTGCCATCAAGTCTATGGCATCTTACCAAGACACAAGAGACAGAACACGGGTACTTCTCTCACACCTAGAGTATGGTAGTTCACATCTTCCTCTTGAAATATGGAAAGAAAATGTATTCTCTGGTATGTTTATTGTTAATCACTTATATCTGATAGAGTTTCTGATCACAAGAAACAAATACCAACCCTTGATCAGTATAAGCACAAACATATTGTGCTAAAAATAACACTGGCTACTTTACAGAACATTAATGTGGAGGTGTCACAATATATTCAAGGGAAAAGCAAATTAGATTGCCAGATTTGAGGAAAAAGAACCAATAAAAATCTTCCCGAAACATCCTTATATTTTTAAACACAACCCGATGCTCATATTGCTATTCAGCCAACAACACACAAAGTGGACACTGTCGCAGTAAGTGCTGCCACTATAGGCTCTCGCCCTCACTCTCAAGCTCTCTAGTGCATCCCTGCCTTCTTCAAGGCCAGAATGGGGGTACAGTTCTGCAGAACTCAAGGAATCACTGGCATTTATGCTTCTATTTCAAGTGGCTTCGTGGCATATTTTGAAAGGCTGGGCAAACTTAGGCGGAGAATACAGGACCTAGAACCAGAAAGAATGACAAGTATTCACTGCAGTTTCAAAATACTAGGAGTGTTTCTTTAATAGGGCTAATGATAAAATATTTCCTCACAACATTTTGTATTTAACTCTTTGAGTGGTGAGATTATAGTTCAGTGGTAAAGGGCCTCTCTTGCACACATAAGGCAAAAAAAATGAGATTCACTTGAGTGATGAGTC